TGGGCGGGGCTTGGGTGTGCGCCAGCGAGGAGGGCTTGAGATCCCCGCTCCTCCTCGGCCATCCCTGGGCTCACCCGCCACGGCTTTCCAGCTCCCCAGCACCTGGACAGCGCCGTCACACTGGGGTCACACGGAGCTGAGCAGTGATTCTGATAGTCCCGTGAATATCAGCCTGCCTTGTACTCCGGATTGCTTTCCTCATTGAATCCCCACACACCTGGGCGTCCTCACTGCCATCAGATCCATTTTCCTAAGAAGAAGCTGAGGCTCAGAGAGGTTAGGAAGCTGGGCTAACATCACACAGCGGGTCAGCAAGATGCTAGGGCTCAGAACCAAGCACGACTGGCTCTGAGCACGTCGAGCCCTGGGCGGCGGCGTCTGGTGCCCTGTGGGCTCTCCCTGGGCTTCCTGGTGCCTGGTGCCAGCCACGGTCCGGACAGGCATTGGCCGGCTCTCCACCCCTCGGCAGGGAGGCAGAGCCACCTAGAAACAGTGACAGACAGGACAGAAGCCGGAGTGTCAGGGAAAAGCATACACACACACACACACACACACACACACACACACTTGGGGGATGGGTGGGAGGAGAGGAAGACATCGCTGTCTTATTTGGCTTTGCACGGGGATGATCGAGATTTTTAAAAAATTAATAACCAGTTTCTCCTTTGCACATAATTAAAATGTTCTCCAGTCTCTAATTTTTTGTCATTTTCCTGATCTAATTTGTTTTCTGAGTGTGTCGATTCTTCCAAGAACAGAGGGAGGGGGATTTTCCTTCCTGTAACGTGATTGGGATACAACTGTCCAGGAATAGTTTAAATTACATTATTTTCTCCTTGGTTAAATGCAGTGCAAATGGATTCAATTGTCAGAGGGTCTTAATGACCAAACACCGAACACAACAACACCAAGAGCGACAACAAAAACAACAGCCGCAACAACAAAATCTTCAAGATATTTCCTACTCACACGGTTAAAAGAATAATTATGAAAATGAACAAGGAAAATCGATGGTGTCAGTAACAAGGCGTTGGCTGTGGCGTTCAGTTTCACCGGGCCCCATGTTCCCATGATTCTTCCTGGCGGGGTTGGAATCTGCCAGAAAGGAATTTTAGCCTGGGAAATACCAAATGCAAACTGCATTTTCCAGTGGGAGAAAAAAATTAAAAAAACGATATCACCCCCAAGCTGCGATTTAAATGCGTGGATTCAGGGACGGACAGGGGGCATTAGGGAGTTCCTAGGATCCTGATGGGAGAGGGTGACAGGGCATTGGGGAGGTTATTTTTTTCCAGATAGATCCCTCTTCCTGGACCACCACTGACCCCTGAGCCCAGGACGGGTATAGTGCTGGCTCCAGGAAAACCCCTTCTCCAGGTGCTCTGAGAGATATCTTTAGGCAGAACTCATGTTGAGGGAGGAATTTCACCCACGCCGTTTGCCACCTGCTCGGGCTTGCCTGGTGCGGGCGTGGAGCTGTGGGGAGTGCCTGGAGTTGGGGTGGGGCTGCAGGGGGCTCCTTCCTGTCTCCCCTTTCTGAAAAGTCCAACTTAACTTCCCTGTTTACAAAATATCAGCCATTGTCTTGTCCCAGCTCATGGTGGCCCTGTACATTTGCAGGATTTTGTTGGAGGAAAATAAAAATGTCTCAAGTATTTAAACATGTTGGACCATGCAAGCATCCGTCCCCAGCCTTGTGGGCTGTTTGGTTTTTTTTCCCCCTTGTCCCCTTCCTTCCTTCTTTTTTCTTTTTACCAAAGTATATTCATCAAACTGCTGAGTTGGAAAGATTTGTAATGAGTTTTTGAGCTGTACGACTGTGTTTTTTCTCTCCCCCCTCCCTCTTTCTAAATCTTCATCTGACATTAAATAAAGCAAATCCCAAACAGATTAACTGTCGCACTGTTCTGCTTCATCTCCTCAGTCTGTTTGCAGGTCTGGCGGGGGGCCGGGCGGCGCCGGCGGCGGCGGTG